GCCCAATTTGGTCTGGGCCCGAGGTGGGCTTAATAAGCGGCGACTACTGTATCTATAAACTTCACGACCTGGTCCAAAACCTTTGCAAAATTTATAAACACTCTACACAACTTCTTTTTAAAGCCTATAGAAATGTATGATATTCCTCTCACGGAAAATATGCAGCTTATAGTTTGGAAACTTTGAATGGTAATTTAGCAGGTCGGGTTTTGGCTTTACCTGATTTTTGCAAACTTAAAACTAGCTTTTCCGGTACTGGAATGGATGTATTCTTAATTCTTCTTGCTTATAATGGGGTTCTCCCCGCATCATTAGGCATGCAAATTAATCGTTTGCTTCTCTCATACTTAATTGCATAGGAAATGTTTTCGATATTAGACAACTTCAAATTTCCACCGATATTCTGCCTGTCACTCTTAAACAAATTGAACTGAACAGAGTTCATCTTCTGCTCACCGGAATAAACTAGTAAATTTGCTGACGTTTCGGACAGCTGGGCCGGCTGTCCTTTATCGGAGCTAATACCGACGTTATTGATCAGCAAGTTTAAAGTTGCGACTGTGCGTGTTGGCCTTGGGCTGATCGATTTTCCTCCTGTCGCTGTTTGGCTATGCGTGGGAATTTAGCCTTGGCGTGACGGCAGTTGGTGTTCTGTTTCGTCCCCTAGGTAGAGGATGCTGGTAATCCTGCTCCCTCTTCCGGTAGTTTCGTCACAGTGCCGTCTTCGTCTGCAATTCCTGACTTCGGTTTGACCGTGTCCTGTCCTTTACTTACGTAATGGTAAGACTTTATAGGCTGCAGGGAGGTCCAGATGCCTGTTGACAGATTTGGCGTCTGAGTACCACGCCCCAAGCATCAAGATTTCAGTTTTTGAGGTTCCTCGGCCTACGATGGTCGTTCCTTGAATATCGAAGTCGTGGCCAGTCTCTCCGATATGTATTGCAAGCTGTGAGTTAGGGTCTAGTCTCCGGGCCGCCGCTTTGTGTTCCCGTAGATGAGTGTGCAATTTGCGCCCTGTTTCTCCAACGTGATTACAGTCTCCATCGTTGCAACTTATTTTGTAGACAACTGCGGAGGTTTCAGTAGGGAGCAATCTACCTTTAGGTTGCATCACTCGGTGGCGTATTGTCGCCTGAGGTCGATGGGCTATGCCTACTCCAGCGGGTTGTAACGGTTGAGATACTGCTTCGGAGACTCCTTTTTATGTAAGGAATAGCCCTCCAGACTTCGGGTTGCTGTTTTGCTGTCTGTCGTCTGTTCACTCGGCGCTTCCTTTGGTTGATAAAAGAATTCGGGTATCCATTAGCTCGAAAGAGGTCAGGTGAATAGTATTGTTCCACTCTTTTGCCAGCTTGTGTGCTGCAATGCGTTTCAGCTCTTTGGAAAAGAGTACTAACGCAGCTACGTTTGTGAGACAGAGGGTGATTGCTGTTGAAGTGGAATATTTGTTTCGTGCTGGTGGCTTTTCTAAATACTGTGGTTTTAAGTAGTCTAGTTGAACAACGGCGCACCAGGACATCGATAATCAAATGAAGGATCAAATCCCCTCATTGGATCAAAAATTGCGTGAAAAAATGTGTGCTAACCTACCAAGTCTAAGTTCGACCATGACTTGGCATGAATTACCTCACCTACTTTATATGCTGTATATATTCTGTCCAAGGCCAGTCATTCATTTCTCTTCAGTATGATAAAGACTTAATACAGTCCTCATACACGTTTGCGATGGAGGTAGATCGTTTTGCATCTTTTATAGGCAGACTATACTATTTTTGTAGGTTGTCAGCAGGAAAAATCTAAACGTACCTGAAATATCTTGGGATAATACTGCAAAGTAATTTATTTTACAGCCCTACTTAGGTAATTTAATTGAGTCGTAAACACATTTAAAAATTTCGCTTGACATTTCATAAGATAGGAAATCTACTGTGTTTTGTCTTTTGAAAGCCATGGTAACCATATCTGTGTGCCATCGTCTAACTGGGTTCTTACGAAAGTGTCGTAGACTTTACCAACGAGGTCCTTGTCGAACGCTACAAACGCCCTTTCACAACGTCAGTTTCAGCCTGTTCTGCGGCCACACAGCGATGCCTTTCTGGCTCTTTCAGGTAATATACCCCCATACCATTGGCAGAACGGTTGAACACAGATAGACGATGGCAGGAACGACCTCTCAAATTATATTCACCGGTTGTGCAGATTTGTTGGAAGGGCCTTCCGGTCGTTCAGGCCATTTCGGGCCTGAAAGCATCCTCGGCAAGCATGATCGTACCATGGTCTATTTCCTGTAAGCTGTCATTAACATCAGGAGTGAGGAGCAAGGGCCCACGAATCGTCAGAGGAAGCACAGGAAATCGAGAAAATAAAGTTTTTTGTGTGGTTGATCTTCTATCAAAGTTCGACGTACCGTACTCCTTCCCCGCCCTGGCCCTAAAACTGCTATTTGCTCTTTCCCCTCTAGGTCCATGACTGCAAGTTCGAGGACACCGGTGGCGCCTACATGCTGACTGTCCTTCTTGAAAAACCGGGCGTAAAGTTCAGCAAACCGGCCGTGATTCCAGCGAAGGCTCCGAAGAAGGAGGCGCCAAGCGAGCCTCCGAAGTCGGCACCAAAAGACGTCCCGAAGGTAGTAGTACTCTTCCGTATAAAGTAATATAACAATACGTTGTGAACCAACAAATTGCATTAACTTCCTCTTATTGAACCTATATATAGATATTAGTAGATAGGCGTACACCGATCAGATACCGATCAGTATATCAAGCCGACGACGCCTAATGAGGCAGAAATGGCCATCCTGGATTCTCTTGTCTTACGGTTAACTGTCCTACAGCAATATATATAGATACATATAATGAAGGGCACTGATCGCGTCCTGGGAAATACTCGTCAGGTGATGCCTTAGGTCTCACTCTCGACCCCCTGTCAGCAACCGCACAGTGGTCGGTATGACAGGCTGGGTAACATTACCAACAAGGACAATGGAGACTGGAGTGGCTATTTCTGGCTTATCGGGCGTCATTATCGAACTTCAGGGGTTCCAAAACTTGAGACCGGGTGTGACGGGCTGAGGCCGGTTGATTAGCCAAAATAACTATTCCCGTCCTTGTGTGTTTGCCATGAATGATATTTTGTCTATCCAACGCCAATGCAGGTGGGCCAGATATCCGAGTAATCATCACTCTACCCTCCAATACGGATGATTACATTTCAGCAGGTCACGACTCGTATGCCAGCCATCGAAAAAAATAGCGCACTGGAGGGTTTCTATCCTCGGTAAAGGGCGAGCGGTTAATTTTCATAGGTCATACCTACAGATAAAAAGTGTACATGTGTATATGTTACTCACTAGTTTATACTAACGTATTTTATGTTGCATATTTTATGCATACTGTTTCCAATAGGGTCTTTAAAGGCATTGCCCACTACCCTGAATATAGTGAACTATACTGAGTTATGCAGTAGCCTAGCAAATGCATCTTATAAATGCTGCAACTCCCTATGTCTGAAGTACTCATAGACGATGCTGTCTATGAAGATGGGGTAGAGCTGTGGTCGAAAACGTCAGGTGAATAATTTCTTTTCCCACCAATCGCATAAACTTCTTATTAGAGTTTTTCCTCCTAACCACATTGATGCAATGTGTACATTCCAGTGGCGTCGGAAGTATCACATTTAGCAATTCCTTTGGTTCAATGCGTATAGCCCACTAGACGGTAATTTAGGCAGCGTGTGCTAAGCCCCAGGTCGGAGTTAATCTTCATCTACGTATTCTGTTCCATCCTCCCCCTCCGTTCTTTAGGGTCTGGAAACCGAAGATTCTGTCAGACAGGCACGGTACCAGAAGGCGCCACCCATCAGCCTCAAGAAGGACGATAAACTTGCCGAACCTGCAGAAAGCGCCTTTTTCGATACAGAAGAGTACGAGGTAAGACCTTGTTTTCATCGCCAGGGCACCTTTATTCCCCCCTTTCCCTCCGTAAATTGACACCGCACAACTGTTAGGGGTCAATGTAAAGTTGCGAACCCTTTTCTAACATGCAACAGATAAGAGCTTAAAAATATATTACTGTCTTACTTTCAATAGACTGCATGTTTACATTAAAGTTTATCCGCTTGAACATTTCATAGTTGAAGTGCAGTGAACGTGCTGTAGACTGCTATTTCGCAAACGCTGCACTTTTTGGCCATTCATATTTCATAAATATTCTGATGCACTTTTTGTATACTATAGGAACCTCTAAATCTTTTTACCTCTCTACTACTTTTTATGCATTCCTGCGATGTTCCAATTGAGATTTTATGGACTTCTGTAATATACTCCAAACATAGTAGCCGGTACTGACGCAACTGCTACCGTTAACTTGTGTCAGCTAGGTTAATCTAACCTCGTGGCCTTTGAGGCTTTTGGCAAACTGCAGGGGCTCTTTTTGCATTTTCAAAGAAAATAACTCAGCACCTGCTTCCCCTTTTCCCTTCTTTTTCACCTCCAGTGCGAGGGAACGCTAAAACCTGCGGAGAACTTTGACTCTAAAGCTGACTGTCAACGGCTGAGGAAGGCTATGAAAGGCATGGGTACCGATGAGGACGCTATCATCGAGGTGCTGGGCCACCGATCGTTGAAACAACGACAGCAGATCGTGCTCGACTTCAAGACGCTCTTTGGGCTGGATCTGTCGAAGGAGCTGGCCTCTGAACTGAGCGGGAACTTCAAACGCATCTGTCGGGGTCTCTGTCTCTCGCCCGAGAATTACGATGCTGAAGAGCTGCATGAAGCCATGTCTCGTCCAGGCACGGACGAAGACTGTCTCATTGAAATCATCTGCACGCGGACAAACGCTCAGCTGTTACTCATTGCGGAGGCGTATCAGAAACGTAAGCGCCCATGTGAATTGCTACTTACAATTTTTAAGTAGCGCATCAAACATGCACAAAAAAACTTTCGAAATTAAAGTCTACGTAAATGCACCCAATTGATCATTGAAGGATGAACCACATTCAGTTAAGTTAAAATAAGTATTGGAAACAATAGTACTTTTAAGTTCAGGGATAAGCATCAGTTTTATTAATGGGAAGATAGGCGAACGCCTTTTAGCTCCCTGTTGTTGACAAAACGACCAGGATGATACTCATGTAAGCATCCAAATAGTGAAGTTTGGCGAACGTGCGTTTTCCATTATTTACAATCATGCATTTACAATAATAGAAGGGAAGGTAGAGTAACAAAAATTCAGGGATCCAATAAACAGCAAGTAGGGGGGAGCGGATTGAGGGTGTTCAGAGATCAAAAGGTATATCCTAGTCCTATCAAATGCTGAGGAAAGGGGAGGGAAAGAGGTGTTCTGCGTCATCATGGCAACGCGATATGAAGGGCGGTGTAAACGCACATGCCGAGTTCTTCGGCCAAGGAAGCCTAAGTGTCTGTATATTATTGTAAATGCCCGATGATCGATAACGCACGTACACCGAACTCGACTTCTTGAATAGTAGGTATGACAAAAATACTAATTTCCTAGGAAACGTTGAAAATGCCAAATGAGTTAACATCCTTTTTTGTTGTGTATGTGAAGCCTATCCATTAATAAAACAGCAGAAACAAAATAATTTTCAAAACTATTCGCATTATTTTCTGCCCAAATATCTTACATGAGGTGGTTTACTACGAAGTACGGCAGCTAATCAACCATTTATGCCTAATCATACTTCCAAATGATACCGCGAGAATTCCCGCGAATTTTTTTTAGTTCAAACATTGATTGAGATGCGGCCGACTACGGTGGTAGTTTGCGCCTAATGTCGTTAATATGAACGTAACAAGAATAAAATTGTTCACAAGGTCATTCTGAGAGGCTGGCTGGTAACTAGAAAATCGAAATATAATAAGCAGATGCAAGCATAAGCATAACTGATCGGTTAGCATTTATCAACCAATGTCAATATTCCTTATCAAAACTGGCAAGACAGCGTTGGACTTCTGGTCAAAGAGGTTGCGGGTTCGAGCCTTGAGTGGAACACTACCTAGGGCTGCATATGGCTGGCTGGTGACGGCTAATGAACTAGAAATGGTCATTCCAGTCTGTCTAGTCTTTATCTTTAGTATTTTTTGTTCTGTAATATTCCAGTCTTTATGCGGTTCTTGGTGCGGATCGAGAGTTAGTCCGAAGACAGAACAGGACGAGAGAGTCCTTAAAACCAATCGATGAACGTTAATCAACCGACGTCATATCATTTTCAACATGTAGTTATCACTCGCTTCGAATTTTGCGGCTTCATCCTATTTCGCCCTGAACACATGGGATTGGAGTTGCAATAATCTCGCAAACAAGGCATCAACCAGGATGGGTACATCCTGAACCAGATCGGATTACAGTTACCGACTACTATTTTCAGTCTTCCCCTAGGGCAGGTCGGTCAGCACAAGTGATGAAGCCCACAGCATGCTCAAGACAGCGGATGCTGAACTGGTGACTTGCTCCTGAATTTTCAAGCAGCTGATGGGTAGTCGCGAAATTGTTTGGTTCCCATAAATTTTGTGGTATTTTCCTGTTTCAAAAACTTGTTCGTGGGTTGGTTTATAGCAAGGCAGACTTGCAAAGCCTCTACCGCACTCTCTCCTCCTTTACCCACCTTATTCTGCTGGCAAGACAATGCGGAGACGGCGCAAGTGAGTGCGGGCGCCTTCGTGTGATATCCATTATCTGGTTTTCACATGCGTCAGGCTACTGTGATGACAGCTCGGCCCTCACATGGGCGTGTGTAGGTCATAAAGGTCACATAAAGGGGGCCTATGTAACCTGACCCTTAGTTCGAAGAAAAGCCCAATTATTATGTCAGTTGGCAAACTTCCAAGTCTCGACTGATAGTGGGTCAGTTTGACTATAGTGACCAATCTGCAAATGCGTTGTGCTCATGGATTTCTCGGTGCTGAGCTCACTCTCCCCGATGTCCACATACCTCTGAACGAGTCCTAATATTCCAACATTTCGTTGTTCCAGTGTACAACCGGAGTCTTGAGGATCACGTTGCGAAGGATACGTCTGGACACTTTAAGCGACTTCTGGTGTCACTGCTGCAGGCCAATCGGGACGAGAGCAAGACCTTTGACAGGAACCTGGCGAGGAAAGATGCTGAGGATTTGCTTGCTGCTGGTGAAAAGAAGCTTGGTACAGACGAATCCAAGTGAGCGCCTTACTTTTTTCGGTCTTGCTTAAATTCATTGACTGTTGCGAGGCATAATACTGTTACCCCTCCGTAAAAAAAGATATAAATAAACGCAGCAATTGAAGCTACTCCATGAAAAGAAGTAGCAATAATTTAAGCGTAAATCACATTAGGCGATTCTTGTACTTCACTTTTATCATCTGATGACGCGGCAGGTTGACCTTTTAAATACTCCAAGTTAATACATAGTGAGGCAAGCTTGTATGAAATCTACCTCACCCAACTTCCTTTGATGACAAGACGAAATTACAGCGGCCGGAGATGGACGTAGACTGACTTCGATAATGGGTCATTTTCAATTGCCTCTTATCATAGTTAAGACTATCTGTAAAGTAGTTCCATCCCCTCTCAACGTCATATAACTAACTTCAATTCAAAATTTTATCGGTAATATCTAGATGTCTTTCCTGGCGCCTTGAAAGCAATCAATTTGGACTTATTTTGAGTTCACCGGATGTTTCAGCCTCGCACTAACCATCTTTGAGATACGGCCTCCCTATCTGCTAATAGGTGCCCTCACAGTTGTGATTTTTGCAGGTGTTTACAGTAGAACGTTGTAGTTCCCATTTTGGCTATTTCTGAAAGCGATAGACTTGGGTAATGTCCCACTGTTGTTCACCGTTCGGTCTACAGTGTATCTGCAATCTAAAACTTTCTTAATTTCGACTGCTCCCGTTTGTGGAATAGAGGAAGATTCCACATTTACTGTTTCGTATTCAGGCCTATATATCATAAATTGTTGGTCACTTCCACTGTCATTCATTCTATAGCCACCAGCCAGTTCCGCACTCTGACATCCTTCATTATTCGTAGTTATGGCAACCGAAGACTCTACTCTCTCGCTGTCTTTTACTCTTTGTCCAAGAAGAATAGAATGCATTCATAGACTATGATATTGTCCCCGCACAATCCGTGAGCCAGATAATCGAACAGAGACCGTCGGGAGTCTGCAACGTCAAAGCTGCGATCCGAGGAATCCCCACTTAAGTATTTCGTTCCCGACGATCCCACGTGGGGTTTATTGCGGTCTATTTCCTGCCAATTATCCTTTCAACCCCCAAAGCTTATTCTGAACTAGAAGGTGAAAACGTGCGCGGTTCAATTTCATTTGAGCTTTCTCGAAAAGTATGAACGACAGGACTGATTCTAGAGGCCCCAAAAATCCCGATGACTTATAATAAATAACTATTTTTATATGTTAAGTAGCCCGATTTTGAATTTTTTCGTTGAATTCCTCTAATAGGAGGACGAATTTCCATTTTCGTTAAATTCCGCCTACATAAGGTCGAATTTCCCTAAATTGGCATTCGTGTTGATCGAATTATATTCTATTTTAGCGTATTAAAACAAACATAATCTTATTTAATTTAATATTTTTTGATCACTTCCGCCACAATCACATATCAATTCAAGCTCACTAGCTAATAATTAAATGTTTGACCACAAAATACGTTAAGCTGTTGGGCGAGAGCGATGGATATCTAGAGGGGCCCTACAAATCAGTTTTGTCGTATGAACATCCACGCACATACCTCAGCTGTGCGCTTTTCCCTTGAGTAAACTGTTTCTCGAGAAAGGAATGCGCCATAAAAATGCCTCCACTATATCCTAGCACTTGCGTTTAATACCTTGCCTGGCCTCGTACATACTTTACAAGTTTTAAAACTAACACAGAGGACTTTTGGCTATCAACGATGTTGCCCTTATCGGACTATTTTCGCTTGCATTCTAGATTCAATGA